GTTCGCCGCCGACTCGGTGGCCAGGCCGGGGTGCCCGGATGCCCGGGTGCCCGGGTGCCCGGGTGACGGGTGCCCGGTGCCCGGGTTGGTGCCCGGGTGCCAGGTGCCAGGTGCCCAGGTGTCTGTAGCCCTATAGCCTTATAGCCCTATATCCCTATCGCCCTACAGCCCTATAGCCCTATAGCCCTATAACCCATATAGCCATATAGCCATATAGCCCATAAAGCGCCCAAGAGCCCATATAGCCCTGTAGCCCTATAGCCCTACAGCCCTAAAAAGATTATGATTGGGGTTTTTCTCTGGTCTCATTACATTGTTGAACACCAGGTTTTCCCTGTTAAGGGCTCCGCTAACAAGGAAAAGGAATGGATTTTCCGTGTTAAGCACCCGATGTTCCCTGTTAAGGGCTCCGTTAACAAGGAAGAAAAATGCCCAAACAACAAAAAAATGTTAAAGGCTCCGTTAACACAGAAAAAAACTATTAGATCCTGGGGCCTGGGACCTGCTTGGCACGGGGACGGAAAGCGCATTTACTTTCAGAGCGCGAGATGTCGCTAGCTTGCCCGTTCTTTCTCTCTCTCCCCGTCTGGAGGCTCTCTTGGGGCATCTTGGTGGCATATTGGGCGCCGTCTAGGGCTATCTCGAAACTGCAGGAGGCCTCTTGAGGGGGAACCAGGGCGTGTTGGTATCTTGGGAAGGCACTAGAGCGCCATACAGCACGAATGGAGATTAGGATCAGACTGGTGATGAGAATGACCACGACATACTGTCTCTTGGGAACATCTTGGGCGTCTCCCAGGCCCTCCTTGGGCCGTCTTGTGGCTCTCTTGGGCCCTCTTGGGGCCCTTCTGGGCCGTCCTCGGGCTCTCTTGGGAGCCTCTCGGGCCGTCATGGCACAATCTCGGAGGGCTCTGGAGCTGTATCGGACCGTTCTTGCCCGAAAAGGCGAGGACCTGGAAAACCTTCATAAAAAGGCAACAATGGTTTATGCGTCCTTCACCACTTCTGGGGGTCCTCTCGGGTGCCGCTTGGGGTGCCTTGGAGGCCTCTTGGGCTGTGTTGAGGCTATCTTGGGCCATCTTGGATCGCTCTTGGGCCGTCTTCGGTCCCGTCTGGGCCCCTCTCACGCCGTTCTGGCGGTGCCTTAAGCTGGCGAGGAGCTTCTGCAGGTAGGACGGGGCCAAGGGCGCCCCCCGGGCGGCGAAAGCCCTACTTTCGCTTTTTGTTCCCAACCAGCCTGTGGTGTTGGGTCCTCGTTTTGAAGAGACGGTGCCCCGCGTTATCCTCCTTCCTCCTTCGTCCTCCTCCTCCTCCTCCTCCTCCTCCTCCTCCTCCTCCTCCTCCTCCTCCCCCTCCCTCCCTCCTCCCCCTCCTTGCCTTCGCTCTCCGCATGTCTCTGTTTCGGCACACCCCTCGCACGCTTCGTGGCCCCAGAGGGGGTTCCATCTAAACTCCCAATGGCGCAGCCCCCATTTCGGCGCCGCCCCATTTTGGCACACCCCTCACACGCTTCGTGGCCCCATAAGGAGTCCATCGAGGGTCCCAGTGGCACAGCCCGCATGGCGGCGCCGCCCCATTTTGGCACACCCCTCACACGCGTCGTGGCCCCATAGGGGGCTCCATCTAAAGTCCCAGTGGCGCAGCCCGCATGGCGGCGCCGCCCCAGTTTGGCACACCCCTCACACGTTTCGTGGTCCCATAGGGAGCTCCACCTAAGGTCCCAATGGCGCAGCCTGCATGGCGGCGCCACCCCGTTTTGGCACACCCCTCACACGCTTCGCGGCGCTCCGTCTAGGGTCCCACTGGCGCAGCCCGCATGGCGGCGCCGCTCCGTTTTGGCACACCACCCACACGTTTCGTGACCCCATAGGAAGCTCCACCTAAGGGCCCAGTGGCGCAGCCCGCATGGCGGCGCCGCCCCATTTTGGCACACCCCTCACACGTTTCGTGGCCCCATAGGGAGCCCCATCAAGGGTCCCAGTGGCGCAGCCTGCATGGCGGCGCCGCCCTATTTTGGCACACCCCTCACACGCTTCGTGGCCCCATAGGGAGCTCCATCTAAGGTCCCAGTGGCATAGCCCGCATGGCGGCGCCGTCCCGTTTTGGCACACCCCTCACGCGTGTTGTGGCCCCATAGTTAGCTCCATCTAAAGTCCCAGTGGCGCAGCCCGCATGGCGGCGCCGCCCTATTTTGGCACACCCCTCACACGTTCCGTGGCCCCTCACACGTTTCGGAGACCTTATCTCGGTCTCGTGGACTCTCGCCCTTGGCCGTCGGCTGTCTGGCGCGCTGCTCCCTCGGCCGACGTTGCCCACGCGTGACCCTGGACTGCGGCCGCAACGAAGTGGGGAACGGCAAGAATGAGAAGGACGACTGGTGGCTGGAGCTCTACGCGCTGCTCTCGCGCGCCACACGCCACGAGGACCTCCTGCTCATGCGGGCGCCGCGCACCGAGTTCTTCCTGGCAGGGCCGCCAGAGGGATTGCGGAAGCAGCTGGAGCAGTGTGCTACGCGCACGAAGCGGTGCAGGAGGGAGGCGACGGCCCTCGCCAGGGAGCTGGGCTTCACCGAGTGTATCCGCGAAGCTTGACTTGAAAAGCGACCCGCCCGAGCCTCGCCGTCTCTCGACGGTCTGACTGTTTGCTTCGCGCCGCGGGCAACCCGCGCGCGTCGCTGGGACCCTCTCGGAGCGACCAGCGCGCGTCGCGGGAAATTCCGCGCTACGCTCTGCCCATAGCCTCGCTCGCCCCCGTCGTCTCTCTGTGCAGCGGCCACAGCCTTGCCCGCTATCAGCCAGCCAGCTAACTCTTTCTCTCTCTCTCTCTCTCTCTCTCTCTTTGCTCCGTGCAGCGGGCGACCCATGCGCTTCGCGGGAACCCCATCGGGGCGACCGGCGTGCGTCGCGGGGACTCCGTGCGGCGCCGCGCCCGCAGCATCGGACATGGGCGTG